ACTGTATAGAGAGAAACAGGAGGGATGAAGAAAGGAAGGATGTTTTCACCTTGTCATTCCTCTCACAAAGGAACTTGAGTCTCTGGGCTCTCTTGTGCATGAAGACTCCGTCAAGGTGGCCCGTCTCCACTGAGCGGATCTCTATAGCCTTCTCACCCCAGCCCATGATCTGGTTTGACCTAATGTAGGCTGCACAAGCACAGAAAGGGGAAAAGGAGGGTAAGTAGCTGTTAAAAAAAAAAAAAAAAAAAAGCTGTAAAAATTCAAACAACGTGTCATTTTACTTGTGAATACTTCTAATGATAAATGTAATACTTTTACATATTGATAAAAAAAAAAAAAAAAAAGCTATTAAACAAAAGTGTCTAAAATAAAGTGAAACCTCGACTGCTGTTGGCGTGTAATCGAATGCATCAAGTGAAGCTGCTGCTGGGCTTTTCACATCTGATCGTTTTATTCTGAAGGTTGAACCTTCACTCTGCTGCACACTGAAGTTGCCAGCATCATTTGCACCATTGCTTTTAGAGTTGGGAGATCACTTCTCCCAGTAAAATAACCAGAAGTCTCTGAACACAGGACTTTTTGGTGCTGCAGACCCTCTTCACTCAGAGCGTTTTCACACCTACAGATTTTTTTTACTCTGGTCCAAATCAGCTGACAAGTTTGTAAACTTGTAGCTTTTCCCTGTGGTTTGGTTTGTTTTCACACAGAAAAATCCAAGCAAACCAAAATGTTTCACTGCAAGCCACATGAGAATGTTCTGTCCGCTCACTGGCCAGACGTATCTGGGGTGGGAGCAAGAAAAGTAAATACAGGAAGGGAGGTGCTGTGTGAGAAAACAGAGTTTACAATCATTTCTTGGCTAGTTGCTAGCCCGTATAGACCTATGCACATCTATAGTAGCTACCTGCACTGAGAATACAAAGCATAAGTTGCTATGGGATATTTTTTAGCCCTTGTAACATGTTCTGAGTGGGCTCGTATCACGTTCACACCATAAATATAGTTTGTTTGGAACCACACTGAGACCCCCTCCTGCAAAGGGTCTCTGTGCAGTTGTTTTTGTGCATACCCGAGTGCGATTCAGATTTTTCTGACCTCTGGCATCATGATGAGAAATATCTGCTTTTCACTTACCCACTGAAGTTGGCATTTCTCCCCACTGCAGCACCACATCCTTGGTGATGCGTCCATAGGTGTTGACGTAGACGCCCTCGTCCTCGTAACACACCAGCAGCTCAATCCCATCAGTGTTGGGCAAGATGATGATGGCGTGGCACTGAATATTGGTTTGGATCTGAGGAGGAAATGGAGGAAAAAGGAAACAAATTTAAAAAAGTCCCGTCACCGCCAGTCGCAGCAGATAGCCGCCCCTCACTGAGCCTGGCTCTGCTCGAGTTTGTCCTTTGCACTGTCACTAAGGGCTTGCTCATAGGGGGTAGTTTAATTGTGGAGTTCTCTCTCCATTATTGTAGGTCTTTACCTTATAATATAAAGTTGAGGCGACTGCTATGATTTGGCATTGTAGAAATAAAACTGAATTCAAATTTAGAAAATGCAAAACACAAGACGTAATCAGTCTGCATCAGTTCGCACATACATGTGTGGGCAGGTAGATGTCGTAGACGGCACCAGAGTCAACATCCACAGCGTGGAAGCCTGAACAGGAACCGTAGATGACCTTTAACCTCTGACCTTCCTCCACCGTCAAGTCAACCAGCAGAGGTTTGTGCACCAGGTCACCAAAAGACTAAAGAAAAAAGTCAGAAGAAAGTCAGCCTGAAAGCAGTCAGCCACCTGC